TTTATGGAAAACCTGGAGATGCAAAAATAAGGTAAACGATATGAGGAAGCAAAAGATAAATCCAGAATGTTCGATGACTAACCCAATTTCTTTAACACGTCAGTGCAATGGATGAGGGTGACAGAGCATAGGGAAACTGTTCCAGGTTCAGAGTGACACCAAAGACAAAATAAACATGTTCATCTTATTTGGGTGCTGTTTTAAATAAGGCAACTGGGAGATTTGAATTTAGACTGGATATTGTTATGTTGTTGTTATTAGGTGCTGTCGAGTCAGTTCCAACTCATAGTGACCTGTGTACAGTGGAACAAAACACTGCCCAGTCCTGCGCCAGCCTCGCAATCAGTGCTATACCTGAGCTCATTATTGCAGCCACTGTGTCAGTTCAAGTCATTAAGGGCCTTCCCCCTTTGTTGCTGACCCTCCACTTTACCAAGCATGGTATCCTTCTCCAGGGAATGGTCCCTTTTGACTGGAGATTAGATAATATTAAGTAATTGTTCATTTTATTTGGTGTGATGTTATTGTGGCTATGTAAGAAATGTCATTTTTTGAGAGCTATATGAAAGTATTTAGGATAAAACAAAATAATGTGAGTGATTTACTTTATAACTATAGCAAAATAATAATGAAAGGAAAAATAAATGAAGCAAGTGTGGTAAAATGTTGATAACTCTTAAACTGGAAGATTCACTAGTACTGTTTTATCTACTTTCATACATATATTTGAAACTTCCATAATAAAAGTTTAAAATATAAAGTTAAGCTGTCTGTAATAAATAATGTATTTATCAGGATATATTTATTCCTGTTCTAGCCTTTATCACACTATACTGTAATTGCCTATTTACTTATCTGTACCAGTATTTCTCAAACTCTCAGTAGTGAAAGACCAAGTTTTTTAATTTCCTGATCTGTCGCAGATCATTATTCTTATAAAGTATAATCAAATCAATTACCAGAAAAGCAAAATGGGAAAAATATCACATACAAAATGTAAGCTTTTGTTTTGTTATTAAAGTCAACAAATATAAAATTACATTTCACTTAACAATCAGAACATAGGTAATATAGGGGAAAAAATCTGTTCATCAAAAATGTGCACATGTTGTTGTTAGGTGCCACAGAGTCAATTCTGACTCACAGCGTCCTTGTGTACAACAGAACGAAACACTGCCTGAGCCTGCACCATCTTCACAGGCATTGTTATGCTTGTGCCCATCATTGCAATCACTGTGTCAGTCCATCTCAGTGAGGGTCTTCCTTATTTTTGTTGACCCTCTACTTTAACGAAGCATGATGTACTTCTCCAGAGACTGGTCCCTTCTGACAACATGACCCAAGTATGAGAGATGAAGTCTGGCCATTCTAGCTTCCAAAGGACATTCAGGCTGTACATCCTCCAAGACAGGTTTGTTTGATCATCATGCAGTCCATGGTACCTTCAGTATTCTTCACCAACACCACAGTTCAAATGCATCAATTTTTCTGTGGTCTTCCTAATTCACTGTACAGCTCTCACATGCATATGAAGCTATTGAAAATACTATGGCTTAGGTCAGGTACATCTTAGTCTTCAAAGTGACATGTTTGGTCTTAAACACTTTAAAGAGGTCTTTTGCGGCAGATTTTCCCAGTGCAATACATTGTTCAATTTCTTGACTGCTGCTTCTGTTGACATTGATTGTGAATCCAAGTAAAATGAAATCCTTGACAACTTCAGTTTTTTCTCCATTTATCAAGATGTTGCTTTTTGGTCCAGTTGTGAGCATTTTTGTTTTCTTGTTGTTGAGGTATGATCTATACTGAAGGCTGTGGTCTTTGATCTTCATCAGTAACTGTTTCAAGTCTTCTTTACATAGGCAGTTAATATAGAGAATTGCTATCTCATTCTTAAGTTTGTTTATTCGGAAATTCAGTTTTTAACATAACACATGAGTATACTTTTTGCATGTTAGCTTGAGAATCTTATGCTTTTACTTGAACTTGGATTGATAACAGTGCTTATCCCAAAGCAAGATGTATACTTAAGATTTTATGTTTATGGCCAGAGTTTTTCCTCATTACTTTCATTACTGGTTTCTTAGCAGATATACCGTTTTTTGGGGTGTCTATACTAAGAATGAAATCATAAAGAATGGAGAAAATAAGAGAGATGCTGGAATACTTGCTCAGATTTTTGTTTAAAATGTGGCAGTACCACCTCTTTAAGTAGTTGATCTCTATCTCTGGAACTCAAAGTTGTCATTTTTCTCACTTGGTTTATTATGTATTTGTTGACAAGTTATACCTATTGTTTTAAGTGGTAATTCTTGGTTCAGATATTCCATGCCTTTGTTTCAGTGTAGGCAATAATTTTGTTTTTGAAACAGTGCTCTTCCTGATGTTAAGCTGCAAAGTTTCTCTTCCCAGCCCTTGGTTGTGGTAGTGCCAATTGGACTGATAGCTTCAGCAGGCAGTCAATAACTATAGATTCCACTGTACCTCCCAGGACTCAACTTTGTAGGCAGTAGTTTAGATTCTTGTTCTGTATCTACTTAACACTTGTTCACATTGAATCTGTTACATTTCTTCCTGTTGCTGAAACCTCAAAAACCTTTCCTACTAACCAACATTGACTTAGCATTTTCAACAAAAAGAATTTTTGTTTATCGGAGAAGTCAATCATTTATCCGTGGAAACATTGTCTCATTTTAGTAATGCAGTTTAGTAGCATTTGGTGTGGAATTTTAGGAAAGAAATGACTAACTAACCAAAAGATACTCCCTTTCAGAAAACAAGTTGCATTCCCCTCAGTAGGTTATATTTGCCCAGGAGTCCAACCCTGGGTTTTCCAGGTCCTCCAGTATAGAAGACTCTCATTTACTCTTATGAAGATATGGCAGCACACTGTCCACTTGCTAGTTCTTAAACATAGTCACCCTGGTGACAATTCGGACATTTTGACTATAAAAATTCCACATATTTATTCATAAATAATCCTCCCACCACCGAGACCCCCCTTCATAATCATGGATAGCTACAATGTGGGTTCTGTCAAGGCAAGAGGAAGTTGTTGACAAGCTGGTCTTCTCAATTTGTGATAATAGTAATGCAGAATAGATAGAATGTCCACTTACATTTAAAAGTCTATAACATTTAGCATGTGGCACTATTGCTCCACATTTTATAATTTTGTTGATGAAAAGGTTCATGATACCATCCATGATAGGACGGGCCCTTGTTAGCTAAGTTACTTAAGTACTGTACCGTTGATGTTTTGTGCATAGTGCTAAACATTGCAGGAAGACAGAAGAGAATGCTTTGGCCCTTTTCCTCAAGAAGCTTAAATAGGTATCTTTTAATTTCTAAAATACTGTGTTAGGGCTAAGCATATGTGTTTGTGTTTGGAGATTTATGGTAAATACGCAGATGATTACAGTGTGAGACTGTGTGTGTGATTAAAGCACTGAGAGAGGAGAGAATTATTTTTACCTGAAGTGATGAGGAATGATTTGAGGACAAGGTGGCACTTGAGGGCTTTGAAAAGAAGCTTGATACAGTAAAAAGTACAAAGGTTCTAGTGCCAGATTGGTCATTCACTTACCAGTTGTTCAGAGTCAACCAGATTACTTAATCCCTCTGATCCTCAGTTTCCTCATCTATAAAATGGGATTGAGGTAATAATTATTATAGAGGGTTTTCAGGAGAATTACTATAATATGAATAGCTTTGTAAACTGTAAAGTACAGTTAGTAAATTTTACAGTATTGAGAATGGCATGGGCCAAAGGCATGGAATTAAAAAGAACCAGTAAGTCAGGTAGACTGGAGCAAGATATGTGTGAAGCTGACTTGCCCTATTTAAGGAAAATTCTCTTAAATAGAAAAGTTTTTCAAGATTTGTGTTTACCCTCTCTCCCTCAAAGGATAACTTCAGAGGCCTTTTAAGGCTTCAGGTGAAACTTGAATGTGTTCTAATGTTTAGTTTTATTGAATTCATGTTTACAGTATATGCAGAATTAATTTTCCAGTAAACCACTTTAATAAAGATTATAACAGTTCACAGAGATAGCTAATGTATCTTGCAAATTATATTTACCTTATAGTTTAGAATACATGGCTGTCATGAGAGTATGTGCATTAGAAAACAAGTCTGCCTGTTCTTGCATATTCAGAACTATTCCTTTGTATAGGAACACGATGCGTGAATTATTTAAAGCAACTTCTCAGTACCACTGTATCTCGTGTTACTGATGGTTTGTATAATAATTGAATGAAAAGAATACTTTAAGAAGAGCTGTCCCTTTAAAAAAAAAATGTCCTTCATCTGGTGGGATATCTGAGATTCATGTTCTTTGTTTTACATAAATTTTATTTTTTTATATATTGGTAGGAAACATTCAGTAAAATTATTAACAAAAAGAGAGGAGTGTTTAAGCATGAAACACATTTTGAGGTGTACTGTGACTATTTTGCCCCTTGCTGTTGTCTGGTCTTAGGCTCTCACCATTTGTCTGAACTGCAATGAAATATAATTGCAGTTACTTCTCTAAAGGTCAAGGAACTTGGGAAACAACATGTTATTTGAATGCTAACCCTCGCTCATTGAAAAAGCTGTTTGAGGGAAAAAAATCCTGAATACTGATTTTTAAAAAAACACAGCTCCCATTGAGTCGATTCCGACTCATGGTGACCCCATGTGTGTCAGAGTGGAACTGTGCTCCATAGAGTTTTCAGTGGCTGATTTTTCAGAAGTAGATCACCAGGCCTTTCTTCTGGGCTGGACTTGAACCTCCAACCGTTTGATTAGCAGCCAAGTGTATTAGCCATTTGCTCCACCCAGGGACTCCTGAATACTAATTGTTGTTGTTGTTGTTGTTTGCCATTGAGTCAGCCCTGACTCATAGCGACCCCTCCTTGGGTTTCTGAGGTGGTATCACTACGGAAGTAGGATTGCCCAACCTTCTAGTGGGTTATTTTATTTTCGTGAATAATTCTGAAGTCTCTCTTCATTTACAGATTATCTTGCTAATCATGGCCGGTTGAATGAGTCTGAGGCCAGGCGTAAATTCTGGCAAATCTTATCTGCTGTTGATTATTGTCATGGCCGGAAGATTGTGCACCGTGACCTCAAGGCTGAAAATCTCCTGCTGGATAACAACATGAATATCAAAATAGCAGGTAACTGGGACACAGCTGGCTCTAACAAGATCAGTGTTTGCTGAAACAAACCTGCAGGCCCAGATTCAGGATCATTTCTGCCTGATAACATCAAGCTTTCTCAAAGTGTATTTTATCCATTCAATTACACAAAGCTTTATGTGTAATTAAAAGTAAGGGGAGAAAGTTCATTATCACAGTGGTAGGGCTACAGCTTGGGTCTGATTTGTGTCCTCAGTCTGATTTGTGTCCCTTTGTGGGGGACTCAGCTGGAGGAGGTGCATTTGTATGAGTGTGAGAGTGATTGGAGTGACTGATAGTGTGGGTTTACTGATGCTGTAATCTGCTCTCCTAATTATGGGTAATGGCTGCAGGGAAGTTTCAAAGAAAATACAAAGGAGGTAATGGAAGTAGAAAGGGAAAGGTTTGAGCCGCAAAAGCCCTTTGCCTTGCTCTGATATAATAGGATTTTGATTTATAATATGGAGACTAGGGATAGAGATTCTTTTTGCTTGTTTTCCTCCCATGCTTTTCACAATTGTAAAAACTTTTCTATTTCACATCCTCAGTTTCTTATTCACATGGGCAAAACTGTCATCCATTCAGTAAATATGTGTCAGCACTAGGGATACAAATCACAAAGTCATTTCCTCTGATCTTCAAAGTCCAGTGAGGAGATATATATAGTTAACATGTAGTATGACAAGTCCCATAAATAAGGTGTGTATGAAGTGCAGTGGGAATAGAGGTGAGGGAACATCAGTCTACCTGAGGAGTCAGAGGAACTTAACAGAGAAGGAACTAGTAGAGCTGAGGCTTGAGAGATGAGTTAGAAGCTTGCCAAGGAGACAAACAGAAATAGACATTCCAGGCAGACAGTGTAAATATCACAGGCATGAGAGAGAAGCAATGAAGGTGGAAAGGTGGAAGACTATAGCCCAATATTGGTTAAATATAAAATCTGTAGGAATTGGAGATTGTCACAAGAGGTGCAGAGAGTCCAGGACCAGAATTTTTTTTTTTTTTTCAATTGTGCTTTAGGTGCAAGTTTACAGAGCAGAGTTTGTTTTACATTCAACATTTCATGCACATTTAATTTCACTCCCCATTTACCATCCCAAACCCTACCCAGTCTCCTCCCCTCCCTGCCCAGTAATACCCCACTCCATGCCTCTCATAGTTGTGCACTCCTGTGTGTCCTGCATTCGAATGTTGCCCCTCTGCTGCCCCATGGTCGATTGCTCCAAGAGATGCATTTCCATAGGGTATGTGGGTGCATCACCCTGGGTTGAGTGGTCTGTGTGTACATCTTGTTTACTATTGGGCTGAGAGCCAGCCCCTGGGAGTGAGTTTTATTCCAGGCCCAAAATGTATCCCAGGGCCATAGTATTAGGAGTCTCATCAGACTCCATCCGACCAGTAATTCTGGTCATAATTGTGTTTTTAGATTTTGTTCAATGTTTTTCCTCCCACTCTATCCAGGATCTTCAGTTTTGATCCTTTCCTGAGTGGTTGACATTGTAGGTGGACACCATCTAGTTCTTCTGGTCTCGAGCTCCGTCATGTCCTAGGGCTGATTGCTTCCAAATGTTCTTGGCGTTTTGGATTCTTCTTTGCTTCTGATGATAGGAGACCGTTACCTGTATCTTAGGTGGCTGCTTGAAAGCTTTTAAGACCCCAGTTGCTCCTCACCAGTGTAAGATGAGGAACAAGATTTTTATGTTGTGCCATTTGAGTGTGGTGTCCCCCAGTACTACAGGACTAGAATTTTGAACACCACATAGGTCTAGACTATTGGAAATTTTAGGTCAGGGATGGGGTTAGAGTGGTAATGGGATAACATGATTAGATTTGCATGTTGGAATGATGTGTTTGGCAGCAGAGTGAAGATAGAAAGAAGATGGGAAGCACATGAGAGACAGGCAATTTAATAGGGGTCTAATGCGATAGTCCAGCTAAGAAAGTGTGCGTCTGAACTAGAATGGCAGCAGTAGAGGTTGAATGTGTAGGATGGAGGAAGGGAAGTTTATCTTGGTTAGGGTTTAGAAGAAGGTAAAAGACCCATAGTAAAAGCTTAGCAAAGTTATAAGCAGTGGTATTTTATTCTAGGATTATGAGGGAGGAGGAGCTCTGGTAGCATAGTGGCTAAAGCACTTGACTGCTAACCAGAAGGCTGGCGGTTCAAACCCACCAGCCACTCCTCGGAAGGAAGGTTGGGCAATCCTACTTCCGTAGTGATACTGCCTCGGAAACCCAAGGAGGGGTCGCTATGAGTCGGGGCCGACTCGACGGCACATAACAACAACAATGAGGGAGGAGCAGGGAGACATCCAGATAGGAGGAGCTGACCAAGAAATTATTGGTTGACTAGCTAGGTTGGACACTCACTGGACTCAGTAACTTTAGGGAAAAAGTAGCTGCTTTCGTTTTCTTCATTGCAATATAAAAATATATCATTTTAAAACTTCTAATTTATGCATTGAACTGGTTTGTTTCTGTGTCATTTCCCATTAGTCTTTGTGTAGGGCATTTGGGGGGCAGGTAAATAAGACTTGCTTTTTTGGTTTAAAGTGCCAATGTTACACCTTTTATAGGAGAAGTAATAGATTTTTCCATTCTGTAGTCTTGTGATTTTTTTTCTCTTAATGGAATTGCCTGAATAAGACAAGTGTTTTTAAAATTAATTTATTATATTCCCATATCTATAAATATTTGTATTGATTTCTCACTTTTGTTTTGCAAATGTACACAGTATTAGCACTTCCATAGTTTCTTATATATGTTCGCGTAAGAGCACACATAGCTCTATAGAATGGTGGGAAATCCTGCTTCACATTTACATTCCTTTATTGCCAGAACAAAAATTAACAAAAGCAATAGCTCAGAGGAGTTCTTTTGAGGCAGAAAGTTACAGGTATGAATCAATCATACTGCTGTAGGAATTACAGAATGTTCTATCACTAACGTTTCAGAAGAATATTTCAAAGCAAAACACCAAAGAAGCTTGCTAACAAAAAATATATGGATTTAAGGTTATAATCAAATTTTGCTTAGCTATAGTATGTCTCCTATTAATTCTGGCCTGAAATATAGGTAGATGAACTGAGTATTTCAAATGAGTATTTCAGATGTCATAATTTGATATCTAGGTTGTCTGAGTTTTTCATTGGTTTGTTTGTTACCTCTGTTTCTATTTTTGTTTTTGACTATCTGAACTCCAAGACCTCTAATTACCTAGAATGTCGAATACTTAAAGTTGTTTTCTCCTGGTTAAGCTGGTATGACAGCTAACAGTTACTGAGCCCTCACTATTTTCAGGTACTCTGCCAGGTACTTAGATAATTTAATTTCCACAGCAACCCAGGGAGCTGTGTAGCTATTGCCAGTTTCCAGATGAGAAAGCTGAAACTCAAAGAGATGAAATAACTTGCTAAGGTGACACAGATAATAGTAGCAGACTTAGAATTCAAACTTAGGTCTCTGTGACTGCAAGCATTCCCAAGGATTATTTTCAATTATTCCTCAAGGAGTATTCATGAAGTTTTGAGTTCTATCATCCTATACTTTTGCATTTAATGTCCTTGCCTCCATCCCTCACAAGTGAAGTCACACACACACACACACACACACACACACACCCTTATATCTAAGCCACACAAGTATATCTAAGACACACAAGTATATCTAAGCACGCAAACATTTCTCACTCATACTTTTTTCTTTGTCACTCTGAATCCCAAATTTCAAGGAATGTTTACTAAGCATCTGTTACATGATGGTACAAATGGTTAATGTACTAACCAAAAGGTTGGAAGTTCAAGTCCTCCCAGAGTTGCCTCAGAGGAAAAGCCTGATGATTGACTTCTGAAAAATCAGCCATTGAAAACCCTGTGGAGCACTTCTGCTGTGACACACATGGGGTCACCATGAGTTGAAATCAGTGACAACTGATTATGCTCCTGGGCAAAGTCCAGGAGATTCAAACATTTCAAAATGACAGTAAAACAACAACAACAAAAGTTTCAGCTCTGTTCTTCACACACACATACACACCAACCAAACTCACTGCACACAAGTAGTTAAAAATCAAGTAAAGAAACAGATTTAGGTAAATATAATACAAAAATAATTGTTTTAAAGGCCATAAGGCTAAGGAGAAAGACTAACTGCCTGGAAGGATCAGGGAGATTATTACCTAAGATTTGATTAACAAGAAGGCATTTGTAGTGGGGTTGGGGGAAGGAAGGAGACAGAGTAAGAGAGTTAGTTTTGAGAGGGTGAGGTAGAAATGATTGCTCTAAGCAGTAGGATGTGCAAAGGTAGAGAACACAGAGTGTCTAGGGAAACTGCAGGCCAGAGCTGGTGGAATGTAAGAAGGGCCAGTGAGAAGTGATAGGAAAAGAGCTGGACAGGTAGACAGAGACCAGATAATGAAGGATTCCATATGTCATACAAAGTTGAGATATGTTCTGATGTCTTTAACATATTTCTCCAGAATATTTTTTTCTTTAAATTTTATTTATTTTGTTGTTGTTGAGAATTTACACAGCACAACAGACACCAATTACAATTTTGTGACATTAATTACATTCTTTGAGTTTTGCAACCATTCTCACCTCCCTTTTCAGAGTTGTTCCTCACTCATTAACATAAACTCACTGCTTCCTAAGGTTCTTAATATTTCAAGTTGCTATTGTCAGTTTGATTCCATGTGGATAATTCATAAAAGAGCACAGTGCTGAAGGTGGACTTGTTTTACTAGTTAAGCTAAACTATTGTTCAGTTTTAAGAAGAGTTCAGGGAATATTTTTGGGTTAAGGATTAAAGATTATCTCAGGGTCAATAGTTTCAGGGGTTCA